GACAAGGAAGTACTCTTTTGAATGCATTTCAAGAAGTTCACTTTTGAAATATCTGTAAAATGACAATTTCATTAATAAACTTCCTTTAAAAAAAATGAATGAATGAATGAGAGAGATAGAGAGAGTGTGCTAGAAAGATGCAGACAGGATTTGTTTATGTAAGTTTATTTGTATATATCCTAATTATAGAGAGTGATTTGATTAACGATAAATAAAGAGAGATGGTGTGATCTTTTAAGTGAATGACGAACATTGAGTTGATAGGAGAGTGTAAAGTTTATTAAAGAAGAGGGAATAGAACCAGATTTTATACTTTTTTGGACTTCTTGTTTCATAATATTTTTAAGCCAAAAATATAATTTGAGGCTACTCATTTTATAGGGCTCCTAAGCAAGTAATATCACCCGACCTATCACCAAAACCGGTATGCTTTTAGTGCTCGGAGAGTTCACTTGAAACCGCTGATCGTCAACCGTCGACTCTAATACTATTTATTGAAAGAGATAGAATTTAATGATTCAAAATTCAATATACATATTTGAAATTCATATTTACTTTAAAAGTTTAAGCCTTCAGTGAATTCATCCAATATATATTTTAATACTTTAATTTATTTTTTTATTTGATCTATGTAAGATTCTCATACATATAATTACCAACATTGACTAATTTATAATTGTACATAATTGATTTTAATTCATGTATATATTATATTTAGTCTGATTTGCATCGACTAATTTATTTGACAATTTTAACAAATTTATTCTTTTATTCTTCGAGCTCGTTAGAATTAGACTTAAATTTTTTAATTAAATGCTATCAAGATAACTGAAATCAATGCCAAGTACCAATCGTACAGGTGTCCTCCTAGTATTTGAGTGTGGTTCACTTGTCATGTCAAAGCCATTTTATTTTACTTTTTGGAGTGGTGGATGATTATTTCTAAGCAGACTCATCAATAGTTATCTTGACTTTTCATTTTCATTTATTTTTTGGGTCCTAATTACACAAACAAAAGTCAAAGAATACAGGACATAGTTTAAATATCCTTAGAATTTCCATGAATTGAAAATTTCATAGGGAATATAATGANTCACAAACATAAAGTCAAAGAATACAGGACATAGTTTAAATATCCTTAGAATTTCCATGAATTGAAAATTTCATAGGGAATATAATGAAAGAAAAATTCTCCATAAAAAAAAAAAAAGAAGAGAAAAATATGGTATATATTGTGCGTATAAAGAAGAACCATTTTTTTTTAATGATTATCAAGAGATAATTCAAATAGAAGATTTTAATTTTCGTAATCTCAAAGGGTTATGAGATAATGTATTAGAGAGGAAAACAAATTATCAAAAACATCATGTACATTCTAATAATTACGTTTTGGAACTAGAATTTTTTAAAAAAACAATCGTATTTTACGTCTTGCCTCCGTTGTGATTGTAAATTGAGAGAAAGTGCTATTATTTTTTNTCAACCGTCGACTCTAATACTATTTATTGAAAGAGATAAAATTTAATGATTCAAAATTCAATATACATATTTGAAATTCATATTTACTTTAAAAGTTTAAGCCTATAGTGAATTCATCCAATATATATTATAATAATTTAATTTATTTTTTTATTTGATCTATGTAAGATTCTCATACATATAATAACCAACATTGACTAATTTATAATTGTACATAATTGATTTTAATTCATGTATATATTATATTTAGTCTGATTTGCATCGACTAATTTATTTGACAATTTTAACAAATTTATTCTTTTATTCTTCGAGCTCGTTAGAATTAGACTTAAATTTTTTAATTAAATGCTATCAAGATAACTGAAATCAATGCCAAGTACCAATCGTACAGGTGTCCTCCTAGTATTTGAGTGTGGTTCACTTGTCATGTCAAAGCCATTTTATTTTACTTTTTGGAGTGGTGGATGATTATTTCTAAGCAGACTCATCAATAGTTATCTTGACTTTTCATTTTCATTTATTTTTTGGGTCCTAATTACACAAACAAAAGTCAAAGAATACAGGACATAGTTTAAATATCCTTAGAATTTCCATGAATTGAAAATTTCATAGGGAATATAATGAAAGAAAAATTCTCCATAAAAAAAAAAAAAGAAGAGAAAAATATGGTATATATTGTGCGTATAAAGAAGAACCATTTTTTTTTAATGATTATCAAGAGATAATTCAAATAGAAGATTTTAATTTTCGTAATCTCAAAGGGTTATGAGATAATGTATTAGAGAGGAAAACAAATTATCGAAAACATCATGTACATTCTAATAATTACGTTTTGGAACTAGAATTTTTTAAAAAAACAATCGTATTTTACGTCTTGCCTCCGTTGTGATTGTAAATTGAGAGAAAGTGCTATTATTTTTTGTTTTTTTTTTCTCCAAATCTCTGGGTTCACTAGGGTAGTTTGTACAAGATTATATAAAAAGGTGTAGTTTGACTTAGTGTTACCTTCAAATTACACCTTGTGATGTTATGATCTATCAAACTTGTACTTTAAAATATTCTCTAAATCACGGTTATCCAAGAGCGAATGACTTGCATTATTTATATACTATTTTTTAAGTGAAAAATAATTTCTAAAAGTATTTAATAGTAGAAATTGCATTTTTTTACTACACACAACAATATTCACAGCAAAAATAGAGGTGGGTCGTAGAAACTTCCCAAGATAGATAGAATTTCTATGCCGCAAATGTCATATATACGACAAAGGAGGGATTGGAAAATAAATGTATTTTTCTATTTTCTTTAAAGAAATTAGCACTTTAGTCTTTTCAGTACTAGCTATCAAATGTCTTAATCTGCTAAATCAAAGTTTCAAAGCTGTGTAAGTAGTTTTCACATGGCAATGCCAAAANACACAAACAAAAGTCAAAGAATACAGGACATAGTTTAAATATCCTTAGAATTTCCATGAATTGAAAATTTCATAGGGAATATAATGTAAGAAAAATTCTCCATAAAAAAAAAAAAGAGAAAAATATGGTATATATTGTGCGTATAAAGAAGAACCATTTTTTTTTAATGATTATCAAGAGGTAATTCAAATAGAAGATTTTAATTTTCGTAATCTCAAAGGGTTATGAGATAATGTATTAGAGAGGAAAATAAATTATCGAAAACATCATGTACATTCTAATAATTACGTTTTGGAACTAGAATTTTTTAAAAAAACAATCGTATTTTACGTCTTGCCTCCGTTGTGATTGTAAATTGAGAGAAAGTGCTATTATTTTTTGTTTTTTTTTTCTCCAAATCTCTGGGTTCACTAGGGTAGTTTGTACAAGATTATATAAAAAGGTGTAGTTTGACTTAGTGTTACCTTCAAATTACACCTTGTGATGTTATGATCTATCAAACTTGTACTTTAAAATATTCTCTAAATCACGGTTATCCAAGAGCGAATGACTTGCATTATTTATATACTATTTTTTAAGTGAAAAATAATTTCTAAAAGTATTTAATAGTAGAAATTGCATTTTTTTACTACACACAACAATATTCACAGCAAAAATAGAGGTGGGTCGTAGAAACTTCCCAAGATAGATAGAATTTCTATGCCGCAAATGTCATATATACGACAAAGGAGGGATTGGAAAATAAATGTATTTTTCTATTTTCTTTAAAGAAATTAGCACTTTAGTCTTTTCAGTACTAGCTATCAAATGTCTTAATCTGCTAAATCAAAGTTTCAAAGCTGTGTAAGTAGTTTTCACATGGCAATGCCAAAAATCGGGTTGAGAACCTAACCGCAGACTAAGAAAATAAGAGGGGAGTGTCGCAGCCGCAGAATAAATTTATAATATTTAACAAGTTGTCGTCGTAATTCAATTTATGACGTCAACACTATTGCAAGCAAGGATACGAGTCTTGTGTACTATGTGCGATCTTTAACAACACCACCGCGCTCCCACTTTCCAAGGCATTACTTGCCTATAAATTATCATCCCCCGTGCATCAATTTGAAGTCATCTCTATCCGCCTTCCCATTTGTGTTCTCTCTCTCTCTCTCTCTCACATACAGGGTCTCAGACATGGAGTCTAGTGACATTACTACNACACCACCGCGCTCCCACTTTCCAAGGCATTACTTGCCTATAAATTATCATCCCCCGTGGATCAATTTGAAGTCATCTCTATCCGCCTTCCCATTTGTGTTCTCTCTCTCTCTCTCACATACAGGGTCTCAGACATGGAGTCTAGTGACATTACTACNTCTCCAAATCTCTGGGTTAACTAGGGTAATTTGTACAAGATTATATAAAAAGGTATAGTTTGACTTAGTGTTACCTTCGAATTACACCTTGTGATGTTATGATCTATCAAACTTGTACTTCAAAATATTCTCTAAATCACGGTTACCCAAGAGCGAATGACTTGCATTATTTATATACTAATTTTTAAGTGGAAAATAATTTCTAAAAGTATTTAATAGTAGAAATTGCATTTTTTTACTACACACAACAATATTCACAGCAAAAATAGAGGTGGGTCGTAGAAACTTCCCAAGATAGATAGAATTTCTATGCCGCAAATGTCATATATACGACAAAGGAGGGATTGGAAAATAAATGTATTTTTCTATTTTCTTTAAAGAAATTAGCACTTTAGTCTTTTCAGTACTAGCTATCAAATGTCTTAATCTGCTAAATCAAAGTTTCAAAGCTGTGTAAGTAGTTTTCACATGGCAATGCCAAAAATCGGGTTGAGAACCTAACCGCAGACTAAGAAAATAAGAGGGGAGTGTCGCAGCCGCAGAATAAATTTATAATATTTAACAAGTTGTCGTCGTAATTCAATTTATGACGTCAACACTATTGCAAGCAAGGATACGAGTCTTGTGTACTATGTGCGATCTTTAACAACACCACCGCGCTCCCACTTTCCAAGGCATTACTTGCCTATAAATTATCATCCCCCGTGGATCAATTTGAAGTCATCTCTATCCGCCTTCCCATTTGTGTTCTCTCTCTCTCTCTCTCTCACATACAGGGTCTCAGACATGGAGTCTAGTGACATTACTACAGCAACCACCAATAGCCGCTCAGTTTCGCCTTCTCCATCGTCTTCTCCACCTCGTCCACCAGTTGTTCTCAGCCCATGTGCAGCTTGTAAGGTTCTAAGGCGAAGGTGTGCAGATAAGTGTATCCTGGCACCATATTTTCCTCCCAATGACCCCCTCAAGTTTACAACTGCTCATCGCGTTTTCGGGGCAAGCAACATAATCAAGTTCCTGCAGGTACTTACACAGCTAGCTAGCAAGCCTGTTTTGCTTCAAACCCTTCAAAGCACTCATACTGATCATGGTCTTGTGACAAATTTTCCATCTGTTCATTTGTATTTTCAGGAACTCCCAGAGTCTCAGAGAGCTGATGCCGTGAGTAGCATGGTTTACGAGGCGAATGCTAGGCTTAGAGACCCTGTTTATGGCTGTGCTGGAGCAATTTGCCAACTTCAAAAACAAATCAATGAGCTTCAAGCACAAGTAGCCAAGGCACAAGCTGAGATGGTCAATATGCATTGCCAACAAGCCAACCTCATGGACTTGATTTCCATGGAAATGTCCAAATCTCCACAAACATCACCACCACATCTACAATCCTGCGACAACTTCATGACTAGTCCTTACAGTCTCCCCAGCAATCTGAGCTTCCTCGACGAAAGCAATCTAGGGTTTTGGGAGCCTCTCTGGACATGATGATCACTCATATATATCTTGGCATATTCAAGATCGATTCTCCTAACCCTAAGCCAATTGCATCAATGGGAAGGAAAAAATTGAAGAACACAAACAAATAAAGTTGATAGAGGGTAACATTAAATTGTTTATGTGATTTGAGTCGTTATAAGTCTGAGTCATGAAAGCAGTGATAAAACCGCGTACTTCAAATTCTATCCAGACCGTATTGTGACAAGAATCTCATGTATTAAGCTGCCATTTTTATACAATAAAATTTGATGTACCTTATCAGGAACTGGATGAAATATGCAGGTATGAACAGAAGAGAGAAAGCTAAGGCTGCTTAAGCTCTAGTGCTCTTGGTAAAGCACTTGAAGTGTATTGGTCTTTTCTTTTCCCTCCATGTTATCTTAATATCAGAAAGAGAGAGATGTCTTTGTTCCAAGTCTATTCACACATGCCATTATTAAACCTAAAGACTAAAACAACTTTCTGGTCACCTAATTCCATAAGCGATCTCTTTCTTATTACTTTCCTTCTTTCTTTCTATTCACATGCATTTTTGATGTAATCTTTGTCATAGAGCAACATATGAACATCTAAATAAGAAACCCAGTTACCATCTATAGCAATTCTAATACCACCCCATGCTGATTTCAGTTTTTCCACTCAATTTTTTTGGTTTGAATGCCTTGTACCTTCAGCTATTCAAATTCATGACACTTGGTACAAATCGTTAAATCTTGGACGGCGATAATCTATGTAAACTATCTTTCTACATTAATGCACGAGTTATTTTAGATCTAAAAAGTTAATGGTTCATACAAAGTATTAAAAATTTGAATAGGTGATCCGACAAAGTGAAATCACGATTATAATTTAAGAGAGCAAGACCATGTTTCCCTACTCCCTTTCTTGTCTTTGATCGTTAGAGAAAAATCATCAATCTCGCATCTAAGAATAACAGTCAAACTTTGCATTAGTATTGCATTATGTGATGACTTTTTTGTGTATTATGAAAGTGATCTTAGAGGTCAATGTTCCTCCTTGTTTAGCTTTTTAAAAAGACTTCTAGTGGAGCTGTCTTGAAAAATAGACTTACAACTGTGTTCTCTTTTGCAAATTCAGACTGTACTCAAGACCCATTTTTTCTTGGGGCTTATCTCACAGCTGACCTCACAAATGTGAAGGGTAATTAATTGTTAGCATGAATATTATTTATCTAGCAACCAAACGGTTATAGCTTAATTCGACATCACTAATTCTTATATTCTCTTGACCAAGAGGTCAAGGCGTAAATTCTTGTCCTACATAAAGATTAATTTTTCGTGTCTCTCTCATTAGAGGTATTGAGGTTCGAACCTGCGATTTTAAGGTCTAACAACAGAGACAGTGATGATTAGACCAACTGCTAACCTCTCTTTTAGGCTTCCTACTCATGTTCTTTTAGTGTTCGAATTTCTCATATCCTTCTCTTTCGAATTTATATTATGCCTCTCTTTCGGCCATCTTCTTCACCCTCTTTGTGTTTTGCATCTGTTTACGGTACAAATTCATTGTTTTTCATTGTATTGGTGTTTGTAAGGCTAAAACCTCTCAAGCAAACATTGAGGTGAAAGGTAATACAATTAATTTATTCATGCATGCAAACCATGCATAGTTTATAGCATGACGATTTTTAAATTTATCACACATACTTTTTATTTATTTCGATCATAATTTGGGGATTTAATTCAATGTTAAATTGAGAAAAACAATGAATTAAGTACCAATTCATGACAATTTTGAAATAAAATTACTAAACTACGACATTTTTGAACTTATTTACAAAATTACAACACTTTTTAAAACGAAGTCAATAATCTTGTTTTTATTAAAAAAATGGGAGTAACAGCTCCATTTTTAGTCTTTGGTTGGATTGATAAGATTATTTAATATTTCAATCAAATATAAAAGGAGGGTGTTAAGCCCAACGAATTTACTCTTTAAAATGGGATTTTTGACCCAATTTTTTAATAAAAACAGAGTCAACAACCCTGTTTTTTTTTAATAAAAAGTATGGAAATTTGATAAATAAATTTAAAAATATCATAATTTAATAATTTTATTTTAAAATTTCCATAAAATACTAATTAATCCGAAAAACGAGGGTGTTAGTGAATGTCATCCATGACAAAATTAATGCAGCTAGTGCTTATCCTATCGCTACAACTGTGTTGGTTGATGGATTCAGAAATTAGGTTCAGCTGGGACCAAAGTGTTATTATTATTATTATTGTTTTTTGATATGGCAGCTCGTTTAGTTAGTATAGTATGAAAGGTATTTTTTTATTGTTTTTATTTTTGAATTGGTAACTATATAGCATACCTCTTTTAGTATAATTAAAAACAAATTACTTGATTTTGTTAGCATCTAGGATTGAATGGATTGATGGTTAATGAAAAAAACCTAGTGATAATTTGGTATACTTGAGAGAGAATAGTATCGTAATTTTTTGATTTCTAGTTGGCGGGCATGCTTTGTTGACCCAACTATCTATAATCTATTTATATAATAAAGGTATAATACAATTCAAATTTCAAAAGATAAATAAATAATTTTTTGCAGTTGATATCTATTTAAATTTTACTTTAAAGTAAATTTGACGGTTAATATTAACATTCTAAATTTAATAGAGAAAATAAACCCTTATTTGAAAGCGATTGTATAACTTATAACTTTTCATAAGTACCTTTAAAAAAAAAAAAAAAGTTTGGAACTATTTCACCACCACCATCTCTGCCACAATAACCACCGCCACTGTCGTCATTCCCCCACCACCACCCCACCCACCGCCATCACCACCACCCTCACCCCCACCGCCCCACCGCCACCATCACCATCGTTGCCACCACCCTACCACCACCACTATTACTACCCCCTACGACCACCACACCCACCATCCCATAACCATCATTACAACTACCACCATCCCCATAGCCCCATTATCATCATCACCACCGTTGTCGCCACCCTACCACCATTGCCACCATTTTACCACCACCACCCCATCAATGCCCCACTACCAGCACCACCACCGTTGCTGTCACTTTACCCCCATCGCCAGTGTCTCACCATCACTCTTATCACTACTAGCCCCACCACTATTATCATCATTGTCATCCACAGCTGCGACCATCACAATCGATCGTTATCACTCATCACATCTATCACCTTCTCCTACCATCACCACTACAACCACTGTTCGCCCCTATTACAATCGGTGCTTAAAGTCATTTCTATCTACTCTATCTTTGTAATTTGATTTTGGGTGTGAATACAAATATGTTTATTGTTAACTTTTTTTTTATTATTTCTTGCTTTCAGGCATGAGAAATAACTAGTAAATTTATAATATAAAATAGAACATGTTTCAATAAGCATATCCGATAATCTCAAATAAACTCATCCGACGACCACCAACATCTTTCTCAAAAACCATTGACACTGAATTCCGCCTTTCAAATCTATCATTTCTCACTTACGTTACATCATGCTTTCAGACATGAACTACCCCTAGTATATGATATTAATAAATATATCAAGTTAGTGTTAAATTATATAACATGATTAATCAAATAGATCTTTTATATTGATAAATTGCTAGCTGGATACAAACTCAGACAAAACATAACATGACTCGAGTATTTCCCTTAATATTCAGCCAAATATAGAATAACTATTATTAAGGTTTCTACTGTGAACCAAGACATTGAGTCTGTTTGGAGTTGACTAAAATAAGTTGATTTTATAGACTTTGGAGTAAAATAAGTCAGGTCTGTTTGGATTTAGACTTTTTCACCAGCTTATGCATTAATTTTTTGGACTCAAAAAAGGCTTATTTAGTTTGTTTCAAAAAGTTAATTATATGAGTTTTTTCTTCTAGCTTTTTGGAGATTTGTCGTTTGTCATATAAAATTTTTTAGTTTATTATATTCATAAAATATTATTACTGACATAAAAAAAATTGATATTCATTTTTTTAGTATTATTATGCATAATCTATTCATACATGTAATTATTTTTTTTTTATTTTGACACAAAAAAAACTTGAAGTCACTTTAAATTAACTTTTATAATTTTTAGTTTTTTAAAGAACACCTCAAACGGTTTTTGGGACTTTTTTAACTCTTTTTTTTGGTGCAAAATTTTTTAAACCGCACTTTTTCACCTAAATAATCCAACTTCAAACATGCTCATTATTTTTTAAAGTGGGAAAACAATCTGAATCAGGATTTCAGGACCCCGGACCTAAGTCCAAACTTTTGATTTTACTCTCTCTCTCTCTCTCTCCCCCCTCCCTTTTAAAGAGCTGCACTTATCTTTTTTGGTTTCGTATTGGACATGGATATCTATCTTGTTGTTGGGCAGCCTTCAAATCTTCCTCTTTTCTCACTACCATCAACATGCGTGATAAGGAAGACCCCACATTATCATATTTTTTTTTTTTTGTTGACTGGTCTAGTGGTTTAAGGCTTTTAAGCATTTGGATATAGCACATCTTGTGCACATGATCGTGGGTCCTTTGACCTTCATTTTGTGAGACAAATCCTTACAAAGCTGAATAAAGGCAACTGCATAAACGGGTTGTTAATCCTATTTGCAAAATCGTGATTGCGTGGATAATTTTGTTACACAATTAAAATGTCATATTTCAAACGAACGGTTTCTTCTCTATCTAGAGATGAACTAGTTAGGGGGACAATTATGAAAGGCCAAAGACTAGGTTCATGGAAGCATTTCGAGTTTTACTTGACTTTGTATATCTAAGGGCAACTTCTTGTATCAGGCGGAATATAATGGTTCGAAGGTTCAAAATATATCATCAACTAGCATGATCAAAGTGTATGCAAAGCAACTCCTAACAATGAAGTCAATTGCCGACATCGATTCTCACCAATTGCTTTGGAAAGAATAGGAGTACTCTAGATTGTCGAAGCGGTGAGTTAGATCACTCATTATCATATATATTTGAAAAAAAATCTATTGTTGAAATGAATTCTAAAGTTGTGAATTTACGTATGATAATGTTTGTTAGTTATGATTCACTAGGAGACGGTGATTATTAATGCTCGAGTTGAAAACGTTTTGAAAATATAATAAATGAAAACCTAATCCGCAATATAAGCATGATTAGACACTTCAAGCGTGTGTGTTGTCGCCATCTATTCTTTGAGTTAAGAATCCTCCCAATCTCTATAATTGTATATTCTTTACTACAACATAAATCCTAATAAACCAAGCAGCACATAAAATCACAAACTATGAAAGACCAGGGCCGGCCCAAC